GGTCAGGGCAGTGTGTGTGTGTGTGTGTGGCACACAATTCACCCAACAGTAATTTTGGCTAAGTAACAATAACAATAAGTACGCACAATACAAAAGTACACACACACAAGTAAGGCATCAATAATAATAATATAATAATAATATATATCAGTAATAATGCAAGTACAGTGCACACACACGCTAGCACACACACACACAAGTATAAGTGCACATTTAGTACACAAGCACAGGCACAAGCACAGGCACAGTATCAATACCTAACAGGCACAAGTACTTCAGATCAGGGACTTTTGTATTGGCACAGATCACACACTGTGACCTTTGGCATACACTAGATCAGACCTTTGCTATACTGGTGACTGTAATTCTTGGTTATACCAGATCAGGGACTTTACATACCGTAGACTGAGACCTTTGCTATACTAGATCAGGGACTTTTGCTATACCAGATCAGGACTTTGCTATACCAGATCAGACTTTGCTATACCAGATCAGGGACTTTGCTATACCCAGATCAGGACCTTTGCTATACTCAGACCAGGACTTACATACCAGGATCAGACCTTGCTATACCAGACTGGGACTTTGCTATACCAGACCAGGGACTTTGCTATACCAGAGATCAGGACTTTGGCATACCTGCAGATCAGGGACTTTGGTTATACCAGATCAGGGACTCTGCTATACCGCAGATCGGGGACTTTGTTACTCAGATCAGGACCTTTGCAATACCTCAGACTCAGACCTGCCAGCCCAGATCAGACCTTGCTATACCAGATCAGGACCTTGCTATACCAGATCAGGACCTTGGCATACCAGACTGGACCTTTGCCATACCAGATCAGGACCCTTGATACCAGATCAGACCTTGGCATACCAGACTGTGGACCTTGCTATACCAGATCTGGACCTTTGATACTCAGATCAGACCTTTGCTATACCAGATCAGACCTTTGTTATACCAGATGATCAGGACCTTTGCTATACTCAGATCGGGACCTTTGTTATACCAGATCAGGACCTTTATACCAGATCATGACTTTATTATACTCAAGATCAGGGACCTTTGCTATACTAGATCAGACCTTTGTTATACCAGATCAGACTTTGTTATACCAGACAGGACTATATACCAGATCAGGACCTTTGCTATCTCAGGACGTGGACTTTATGATACCAGATCAGGACTTTTGCTATACTAGATCGGGACCTTGTTATACCAGATCAGGACCTTTGTTATACCAGATCAGGACTTTGTTATACCAGATCAGGACCTTGCTATACCAGATCAGGACCTTTGTTATACCTGAGCGTGGACCTTGCTATACTCAGATCAGGACCTTAATTATACCAGATCAGGACTTTGCTATACCAGATCAGGACCTGTTATACCAGATCAGGACCTTGCTATACCAGATCGGACTTTGTTATACCAGATCAGGACCTTGCTATACAGATCAGGACCTTGGCTATACCAGATCAGGACTTTGTTATACTAGATCAGGACTTTGCTATACAGATCAGGACTCTTGCTATACTAGACTAGGACTTTGTTATACCAGATCAGGGACTTTTGTTATACCAGATCAGACCTTTGTTATACTGGAATCTGTGACCTTTATTATACCAGATCGGGGACTTTGTTATACTAGATCAGGACTCTGCTATACCAGATCAGGACCTTTGTTATACCAGATCAGGACCCTTGGTTATACCAGATCAGGGACCTTTGTTATACCAGATCAGGACTCGGCCATACTCAATTGTACCTTGCTATACCAGATCAGAACTTGTTATACTGAGATCAGGACTTTGTTATACCAGATCAGACCTTGTTATACTCAGACCAGACTCTGTTATACCAGATCAGGACTCTTGGTTATACCAGAACAGGACCTTGGCATACCAGACTGTGGACCTTGCTTATACCAGATCAGGACTTTGTTATACTATGATCAGGACTTTTGTTATACCAGATCAGACCTTGCATACTAGATCAGTGCACTTGTTATACCAGGATCAGGACCTTGGATAAACTAGATCAGGACCCCTTTGCTATACCAGATCGGACCTTTGTTATACCAGACCGTGGACCTTGTTATACCAGATCGGGACCCCGGTTATACCAGAGCGGACCTTGACATACCAGATCAGACCTTGGCATACCAGATCAGGGACCTTTGCTATACCAGATCAGACCTTGTTATACCAGATCAGGACCTTGCTACATACCAGATCAGGACCTTTGCTATACCGACTGGACCGTTATACCAGATCAGGACCTTGCTATACCAGACCAGGACCTTGCTATACCAGATCAGACCTTGTTATACCAGACTCAGGAACTTTGCTATACCATCAGGACTGTTATACCAGATCAGGACCTTGCATACCAGGATCAGACCTTTGCTATACCAGATCAGGGACCTTTGTTATACCAGATCAGACTTTGTTGCTACTCAGATCAGGACCTTTGTTATACTAGATTAGGACTTTTGTTATACCAGATCAGGACCTCGTTATACAGATCAGGACTTTGTTATACTAGATCAGGACTTTTGTTATACCAGATCAGGACCTTTGCTATACTGATCAGGGGACCTTTGTATACTCAGATCAGGGACTTTGGTTACACTGATCAGGACCTGTTATACCAGATCGGGACCTTGCTATACTCAGATCAGGGACTTTGCTATAATACTTGATCGGGGACTTTGTTATACTAGATCAGGGACTTTGTTATACTAGATCAGGGACTCTTGTTATACCAGATCGGGGACTTTGTTATACTAGATCAGGGACCTTTAGTTATACTCGGATCAGGGACTTTGTTATACTAGATCAGGACTTTGTTATACCCGATCAGGACTTTGCTATACCAGATAGGCCTTTGTTATACTCGATCAGGGACTTTGTTATACCAGATCAGGACTTGTTATATTAGATTAGGACTTTGTTATACTAGATCAGGACTTTGTTATACTGATCAGGGACTTTGTTATACTAGACAGGGACCTTTGCTATAAAGGATCGGGACCTTTGTTATACTAGATCAGGGACTTTGTTATACTCAGATCAGGGACTTTGTTATACTAGATCAGGACCTTTGTTATATACTAGATCAGGACTCTGTTATACCTGGATCAGGACTTTGTTATACTAGATCAGGACTTTGCTATACTAGATCAGGACCTTTGCTATACCAGATCAGGACTTGTTATACCAGATCAGGACCTTGCTATACCAGATCAGGGACCTTTGTTATACCAGATCAGACCTTTGTTATACCAGATCAGACTTGTTATACTCAGATCAGGGACCTTTGTTATACTAGACCAGGGACTTTGCTATACTCAGATCAGGACTTTATACCAGATCAGGACCTTTGCTATACTAGATCAGGGACTCTTGTTATACCAGATCAGGGACTTTGTTATACTAGATCAGGACCTTTGTTATACCAGGACAGACCTTGTTATACTAGATCAGGGATTTTGTTATACTAGATTAGGGACTTTGTTATACCAGATCAGGGACTTTGTTATACCAGATCAGGGACTTTGTTATACCAATTGGGACCTTTGATACCAGATCAGGGACTTTGTTATACTCAATGAGGACTTTTGTTATACAGATCAGGGACTTGTTATACCAGATCAGGGACCTTTGTTATACCAGATCAGGGACCTTTGTTATACTCGATCAGGGACCTTTGTTATACCAGATCAGGACTTTGTTATACCAGATCAGACCTTTGATATACCAGATCAGGGACTTTGCTATACTAGATCAGGACTTGCTATACTCAGATCAGGACTCTTGTTATACCTCGATCAGGGACTTTGTTATACCAGATCAGGACTTTGTTATACCAGATCAGGGACTTTGCTATACCAGATCAGGACCTTGTTATACCAGATCAGGACTTTGCTATACCAGATCAGACCTTGTTATACCAGATCAGGACTTTGCTATACCGATCAGGACTTTGCTATACTAGATCAGACCTTGTTATACTAGATCAGGGACCTTGTTATACCAGATCAGGACTTTGTTATACCAGATCAGACTTTGTTACTCAGATCAGGACCTTTGTTATACCAGACAGGGACTTTGTTATACTCAGATCAGGGACTTGTCATACCAGATCAGGACTTTGCTATACCAGATCAGGACCTTTGGTTATACCAGGATCAGGACTTTGGTGATACTAGATCAGGATGTTGTTATACCAGATCAGGAATTTTCCTAGTTATACCTGATCAGGGACCTTTGTTATACTAGAGATCAGGGACTTTGCTATACCAGATCAGGACTCTTGTTATACCAGATCAGGGACTTTGTTATACCAGATCAGGATGTTGTTACCTGATCAGGGACTTTGCTATACCAGACCAGGACTTTGCTATACCAGATCAGGGATGCTGTTATACTAGATCAGGACTTTGTTATACTCGATCAGGGACGTTGTTATACTAGATTAGGGACTTTGTTATACTCGATCAGGGACTCTTGTTATACCTGTCTGGGTTTTATTATACTCAGATCAGGACTTTGTTATACTCGATCAGGGACTTTGTTATATTAGATTAGGGACTTTGTTATACCCGGATTAGGGCCTTTTGTTATATTAGATCAGGGTCTTTGTTATACCTGTTCAGGGTTTTTATTATACTCAGATCAGGACCTTTGCTATACCTGATTAGGGACTTTGTTATATTAGATTAGGGACTTTGTTATGCTCGATCAGGACTTTGTTATACTAGATCAG